CCATTTTTTTTCAAACAAAAAAAAAACAGAGAGAGAGAGATCCGATTGAAGCGAGATTCCAGTTAATTGATTATTTATATATATATATAAATTGGTAACTGATTGCCTTTGAGCTAGGCATATTCTTATTGAATTAATGTTTAGATTTTGGGGTTCGAAAAGTAATTCGAATACCAGTCTTGTCTTGTCACCTCGCTTTCCATGATCCCTCCTAATTATATATCGGAGCATGGTATTATTACACGGAAAAACCCATCGAGCATCATAAATGAAAAATCATAAGATTCGACTGAATAAGCCAAAGGGATAAAGGGACAAGTCAGGATAAAGGGACAAGTCAGTAATATTGATCTTATGTGGCTTGTTTTGTACAAAAAGTTTGTATATGAGTTACATCTCTCATGAAATTAAAAGCTCATTAATTGGGATCATCGAGACACATCTCCAGACTTAAAAAATGCTTGTGAATTATATAAATCACCACATGATTGACAGGATTTAGGAACTCTCATGCTTGTGGATCATGGGTAAAGTCTTCCTACCCTTGTCGTTAGTTGATCATGCACAATAATTGCTTGAACTTTCAAACTCGAGGAGGTTAACTTATTTGTAAAGTTGTGTCCTTTTAATCTTAGCCTGATCCAACAATAGTATTCCTCTAATCATTAATGTAAGTCATTTTAACTAATTTGATTAGATTGAGAAAGTTCGGTAAGTTATTTAATTATGAGAAATATGACATGTTTCTCTTAAAACACTATAATTATTTTCTAAATATCCTCCCTTCTTCTCCTGTTTATTATGGTACGGTTGAGAGAGTATGAATATGGGTAGTTTAAAAAAAATTGATAAATATAATAAATAAGTCTTATATTTAAGATCAAAATTAACTTAACAACTAGATCTTCTATTAAGAACAAGATTAGTATATAACTTGAGGGGGATTATGTCATAAAATCCAATTTTTTTTAAATAAAAAGCAGAGAGAGAGGGGGGGACGGTCGTTAAACAGTACAAGAGAGACTTCAGTGTCATATATGGGAAGGAATTGAAGGTAGCTGGATGGTTTATTATATATACAGAGTTGGCCCCGTGGAAAAATAAATTGGAAATGAAAAGAGAGGGAGAGAGAGAGGAGGGGAGCTTTAATTTGAATTTTAACGTTTTCTTTTGCAGTGCTTGCGGGGCTGGGAACAAAATGCATGTGGGAAATATACGCTTCCAATATATGCAGCTGCGAAATTGAGACGACGAGGGATAGCAACGTTACATGCAGAACGTCGTCGTACGGAGGCGCCAGGAGGGTCGCCAGTGTCACCTAATTAGGTCTTTGTTGACAAGTGAAGCGGCCTCCATCGATGACGACAAAACTCATCCCATCATCACCTACGCATCTCTCCCACTTCTCTATACACTCCTCATCATTTGCCTCCCTCTATCCTATGTATTTAGTCCTAAAAGACTAGTCTCTACATACAGAGATACCATTCACTTGCCTTTTTGCTGATTTTCACCCAAATACTAGCCTGTCAAGTACGTAGATCGGTAACTCCTTGGTTGCTTGAAATTAATTAAACTCATAATATACATAACATTGTTCGTGTGTGTGTGTGTGTGTCTATATATGTGTGTGTGCGTGTATATAAAGCATAAATATATATATACAGACTTGTGGATATGATTCACTTTTCCTCATCATCCATCCGAACCCTATCCCTGCCATCTGCGAAAAAGCAACAATAATATATGGAGCTAGAGGACACTTTCACAAGTTGAAGGCCGGAGGAAACGATGACATTATTGACACGTACACACAAAAAACGGCAATCAATTATACGTTAAATGTATGAAGTACAAGTTATTTTATTAGTTTGGTTTAGCGGAGAAGTGAAGGGACTAATGGATCTCTTCATAAATTTTGGGGTGCAGAGATCTGTGAAGAATAGTTGTTTATTAGCATTAATTAATTAGGGAGATGGAGGTGATGATGAGCTGTGAGGAAATGTCCAAGTCTGGGATGCAAGGCGGATTTGGGGCTGACCTCAGATCATATTTCAGTGACTTGGAATCTCGAGTCGTCGTTCTTCATTTGTTTTCTTTCTTACGGATCACATATGTCAGTGTTTGAGCCTCTGCGGAGCCTCCTCATAAGTAATTTTACAAATTACAGCACACAACTACAAACACCACTGTTACGTATCATCTTCAATTGATTGATTTAGTGAGACAAAAAATTAAGTTTAAAAAATTATTTAATTATAGCCTATTTATGTGGTCGTGTATCATTATATTATATATATCAATTTATAAGTTAGGTAAATTAGTTTGCAAAACAAAGATAAATATAAATATTTTAAAGTAATTTTTTTATTTTCTTAATTAGTCAATTGGATTTTATGTTAAGAACTAGAGGTAGTGTATAGATTTAATTATTAAAAACACACACGTATACAGATTCAACTGATTTTATTAGACTTTGGTTAAATCTAGTCAGGTATGTGTCATGCTAGTTAACACAGTTTTCCTTTTGGCATACTTTCTCCTGTCCTTTTTTTCTTTTACAAGCACTTCCTGTCTAATTAGTTATAAGTAAAAATAACTGTTTCATAATATTTAAGAAGGTTAGTTATTCATTTTAATTATATACTACTACTTCCAGTCTTATTTATAAGACTTCGTTTGTAGACGACAAACGAGATCTTATAATTAGGACCGGAGGTAGTATAAAATTAAATTCTCTTATATTAACAGTGTTCATTAATACTATACAATACGACCGGAATTAATTAAATTGACTGCAAAATAGTTGGTTTTAAAAAATGCTGAAAGTGACGATGAGCGTCATCGATCCTTATTCCATTCAATCAATTCGGTTTGAAGACAAAATCTCAGTGTCAACATAAAAAAATAGAGTATAGATTATGAGTCTCAATCAGGATATTATTATATTTAAAAATTGTCGCACATGTTAAGTAAGCTGCTTATATATATTAATCAAGTACAGCCGGTGGCAAAAATATTGTGAAAGTTTATTTTCCTAGCAAAAATATTCTGACTGTTATCTACCGTTAAGTTTAACTATTAAATTATATGATTTGACTAATGTTTTTAACAATCAAATTTAATAGCAAATAACGGTTCAAAACAGAAATACTACGAAATAAAACTTTTAAGACATATAAAAAAAACTTTTAAGCGCTGATGCTCCTTCATATATGTTTTCGGATATATTTAAACATCTTATTATGCCTGTGGCAATATGTAAAAACTGTAGAAAGATTAATTTCTTTTCTCGTATCATGGTGGGAGTACTAATAAAAGACCAGTGGAAGAACGAAAGTCTTCGCCTTTGTCCTTTTCGGCTTATTATAATTTCTAATAAAATGTTCAAATATTTTTCCTTTTAACTTGCTAGACTGATCGTCTTCGTTATTATTTTAGAAAACAGAGATATGTTCGTTCAGGTCTTTTATTACACATTGACCGGAAACCATAAATTATTTTTGCTGCGACGAGAACAGCTGGCTTTAACTTCGGGCAAGGTAATATATGGATTAAAATTTGACACTTCATTCAATACATGTTTGGAGTTGACCTGGGCAAATTCATTTAGATTTTGAACACTTGAAAAGTGAAAGATTTTAATCAGGTGCAAAACACTCCTGATATAAAAACTAGTTAAATAATATAACTAGATTAAAAAAATTAGTTAAGTTAGTTACTTATAATAAATAAATGTTATATTTTTTAAAACATCCTTACTAATCAAATGTATTAGCTAGAACTACCAATATCATAAAGAGTATTTTGAAAAAAATAGATAAATATGAAAGACAAAGTAAATTGAAATCTTATATTTAGGATCAAAATAAAATTCAAATAAGTTCTTATATTAAGAATCAGAGTTAGTACTACATTGTAAATATATAATATCATTTAGTATTTTTAAATAAATGAATTTTAAATTTTAGCGTACGGATGAGTATTAATTTACTCAAATAAAAGGCGTCAAAAATGAATTTACTCATATGATGCGTATAATGCAGATCAGATTCTTCATGGTTGGCCATGTCCGTGAGATTGTTTCGTGGACAGTTATATACATATATATATATATATATATATAGTGCCCAGAGATCAATATACTTTAGAAATAACACCGACAACCAAAAAAATAATTATTGAGTTGACTATAACGATCCATTTGTTTCCGTTCATTTACTTTCTATTAAGAGTTTTAGGTTTTTTATCTTGGACAAAATATTAAGAGGATTAGCTTAAAAGTGAAAATAAAATCTCCAGCTGCAAAACCGGCCCTAGTATACAAAACAATAACCTAATAAATGGAAAGAAAAAAAGAATTTTAAACATAAAATATAATTTGTGCTTCTTTAAAAAAATAAAAAAATAGTCGAAAGCTCATCATTCTATACTCTGAATCTTACCTTTTTTTTTTTTTTGCGCCCGTAAAACTCTGAATCTTACTGTTAACCACCTACCTTCTCTCTTAATTTCTCAAATTATTCTTACATATCATAAAATCACTTTTTTTAGAAACAATCACTAAATTATGGAGAATGTTGATTCTATTTAGAGACGATATTGTACTTATACAATAATAGTAGCCATCCATAATAGTAATGTTAATGATATGAATATTTGATTTGACGGATTGGTGAGGGCATCAGGGCTCTTAATGGGTCCTCCATCACGCCTGTCTGGAACCCGACCCACTCGAACGAGCAGAGTGAGGTTAGGTTTCAAGTGTGGGACCGGGCCCACGTTCGGTTCTCTGCCCAGGCGAGAAAAAGCCGCTACCCGAACCGGGCCATTAGGGAGAGGCGGTGATACTTACGCTCCGCAAGAGCTCGCGTGTGGAGCGACAGTCATTGCCTGCGTGTTAACTTGTTCCCAAAAACGAAGGCTTTTTATGGTCAAAACCTTGATCATCCTCGACCTTACCCCCACCCAGAAACTCAATTCATGATCCTGCACACGATAGCACACGCACTGTCCACTCCCCCACATAAATTAAACGGCTGAAATATCGCCTCATTCGCAGCCAATGATCCTCATTATTCATTTCTCCCTGATTATCTCACTGCCTTCCTTCGTTAACTGCCATAAACAACCTCTCACAGATTTCTCCTCTGCGTCGCAGCTTCTCTTAATCTTCCTCTTCTTGATTAGCTAGCTGATATCACCCAGAAATATATGCTCTCCACATGTGATCTTCATTTCTAAGATAGTAATAAAAATGGATCATTCGCTGTCCAGCCTTCTCTGCCAAGAAAACCAAGGAGAAGTGGCGGTGGATGAAGATTTATACGTTCATTTTGAGGATTCTAGTGTTTCAGAGGATGATGAGTATGTGGAAGTTTTGATTGAGAAAGAGATCGGATTTGGGTTCGGAAGGGACGAAGAATCTTTGTTGTTGAGTGATTGGATCAAAACTGCTCGCTTGTATGCCATCAATTGGATTCTCAAAGTTAGTCCACCAAAACCATTCTCTTTTGTTTTTATTGAGATTCATTCATTCCTTCCTTAATCAGACTTCAATCGTAGATTTTGACCCTTCTTTAATTTCCTTTCTCTTTGCTGAATTTGAGTCCAGACAAGAGCAACATTCGGCTTTCGTTTTCAAACGGCTTACTTGTCTGTCACATACTTCGACCGATTCCTTTGTAGACGGTCCATTGATGTGAGTTCACCTGTTTTGCAAGCGCCAAGAATTCCATTCCAATTCCATGTATTATCAATCATTCTTGATTAATATATAATTAAATTATAAACCAGATATGTTATTATGCAGAGTGACAAGTGTTGGGCATTTCGGTTACTATCAGTCGCATGCCTTTCTCTGGCTTCTAAGATGGAGGAGTGCGATGTTCCGGCACTTTCAGAGTTTCCTTCACAAGATTATAACTTTGAAAGCAAATTGATTCAGAGAATGGAGCTTTTGGTGCTCTCCGCATTAGAATGGAACATGAACCTCACTACTCCCTTTGCCTTTTTACCTTATTTCATCTCAAAGTTCTGCAACCAATCCCCACCAGCTCGTATTTGGTCCAACATTATGCAGCTCATCTCCACATTTATGACAGGCAAGTTATCTCAGAATCATTTATCACATTAGATGGATTTCTCAATCAACATACTTTCACGTGATTACTAGTGTATTGATCTAGTGTGTGTGTGTGTGATTCAATATGCAGAGGTCAATTTGATGGATCATAGGCCTTCTGTGATAGCGGCGGCGGCTACTTTGGTGGCAATTGATCCGCATTTGACAAGAAATGCCGTGGAATTGAAGATGAGTTCGGTTTCTCAACACTGGAGTCTCGAAATTGTGAGTTCTATATTTATTCTTCGATAACAAATACAGAAATTTAATTAGCTGAGGGACAGAATGTAACAGTTCAATCTGAACAGGAAAACATAGTTGCGTGCTATGATTTAATCCAGAGATTATACAAGGAGAAAACTGAAAGAGACAAGATTATGCATCCCTCCAGTCCTCCGCCGCCTATCGGATCGATGGCAACCGACAAGCTTGAGACTTCTGTAGTTAGTTCTGCTGTTACGTCCAAGAGAAGAAGACTCACATTCCCTGATCACCAAGAAGGTCATGGCAAACATGACGCAAGTTAAGGGATTCCACTAGGGAAAATCAGATTTTGAATTTGCTTAACGAGTTTCAGAGGTTATGAGTTCAATTTTTTTTCCCCAAAAAAATAGACATAAACATACACATATTCTCCTCCAAAGAAAACGATGAAAGGAAAGGTGTTTGATTACTAATTGACAAGAAATCGTATGGCGTTGATTGGAAGTGTCGCTGAGGAAGAAGCAAAGAGAGGAGGAGGAAACGTGAATAATAAGAATCCTGGCTCTGGGCAAATATTGGAGCGCTCAGTGGACAAGAAAGGACAATTGCCAGATATGGCATGGAAAGCTACATGATGAACAGGGCCAAATAGGCGATAGTGATATGATACTGAATTGTTTTGCTTTTTAACCTTACTTTTTTGCCATTTTTATCCAATCCCTTTTCTCTTTATTTCTTCTGCTTGGGACTTTTTTTAACCTTGGCTTCCCCCACATGAAAGTGGGTTTGTAATGAATTTAGCAACCCTACGGGGCTTGGGATGCTCTGTTACTACTGTTAGTGTCTTGAAAAAGGGGTTATGACTTATAAGAAGTGTGTTGGTGTGATTGGATGCATGGTTTTGTGTTGCATATTGGGCATCACAAAGTTGTGTAAAAAGCTGAATGTAATTATATTTGCTTGAATGTCTGGCCACTAGTGGTGCCTTTAAGGCCAACCCTACCCTTTTTTGCCTCCATACATTCACTTGCTTCGCTGTGTTCAGGTCTTTGAATTTGAAACTCCCAAGCCACTTTTGCTGAATTACGAGTCATTTGATAAAATGCATTTTTAGTGTCACTGCGCCCACTCAAGGGCAAACCGAAGAAATTGTATGTGAGATTTCCCTTGGTTTTTTCTGCCTTTTTTTAGCATGAACGCGTTGCCCTTGATTTTACAAATTTCAATTAAAATGAAATTGTATCCCTTGTTGGATGGTTAAGATTTAAGATTACATATAAGATTCAGTCCTAAGTGAACGTCAGAGTCTATATTTTGGATTAAAAAGTAGAAAAGATAAAACTACAGAATGAATAATCTTAGGATATGATGGATGGGAGAGTAATTGACTGCGTAATACCTCAAATCTGCTCTACAGTTAATTCTATCAAGAGAGGTTAAGTCAAACTATGACAACTGTGTGCTGTCTAATTAATATACTATTAGTTCTTAATATAAAATCTAATTAACTAATTTCAGTAGATTAAGAAAGTTTGTTGAGTTAGTTATTTGTAATAATTAGGTGTTATCTTTCTTAAAATATTCTATAGAACTACTATTTAATAAAATTTGTAATATGTGCAACTATTATAAAAATTACTTTTAAAAAAATAAATAAATATGAGAAACAAAACAAATTATAATATTATATTTAAAACCAAATTAAAAGTTAAACTATCTCTTCTGTTATAGACCGGAGCTAGTAGTTTGTTTTCAAGTATTCATGTATTCCAATAAAGAATGACCTCTCTGTTAAAAAATTAAAACGGTTGATTTTGAAAAATATTGTGCAAAATTTATAGTTTATATGTATAGTCATGATCCCTTCTTGTCATCGGTCTTCTGATACATTATAGACATCTATTTTCATACATATAAAAAAGAAATCCCAATTATGGTGTCATCTAAACATGATCTTTTCTCCGTTATCCTTTTTCCCAGAGCGTTCGTCTATTTTGGAATGGCATCCTACCCTTTCAACAATTTCCTCTTTTCTTTTCGTGCAAGAATCTCCAGCCACGATTCGTCTAAACACATAATCAATCACCACCTTGTGAGTTTACTGTCCGCAAACGTCATAACTACGCCGTCAAAAAACAAATGCTTATGGGGAAAACTAGCCATGGCAGAGACGAGACCAGGTATGCGAGGAGTGGCTAACTATTCGGAACGTGTTTGAAAACACGTTCCATATTTTGGGGCTTTCTGCACATGTTTTCAAACACGAATTAGGACAAAAATCTTAAGGAGTATAATTAGCTGATCATGAACCTTATCAACCGTCCAATTGCGCATATTCTTCAAAAATATTGAGCACACAATTCCAGTACAATGGGTTTTAAGTTCTATAGAGGACGATGATGAGGCGGCCAAGCTTGCTGCTAACGACACTGACATCGTGGTCTCCGCCCATAATTGTTATCTCTGGTCATTTCTTCTCATGACTGAGCCGACAAAATAATTAATTGTGATCCATCGCTTGTGGGGAGCCAGCCAACCTGCCAGACGTAATTTTAAATCACCATGAGAAACAATAACGATTTGACTTCAAAGAATTTTACTTGTCACATTTCGCTCCTAACCCACTGGATCCATGTTTCCTAGTTAAAAATCCAGGTTACTAAAAGCGGGTTTTGCATGATGTCAAGGCATGCCACGTCCAGTTGAGAACGGGCGTTCTTCTCGTGTTTTAAACTACATGGGCGTTGAGAGTTTGAAACTGAACTTAAAACCTCCTGCTGCAAACTATCCAACACCCAAAATGTTGGACCTCCAAAACTATAACCCAGTTAAATAACTCGTCAGCAATTCTAGTACTCAATCGTATTTGATACAGGGAGATGATAACCCAAATAGCAGCCCAGCACTATTCTCAGCGTCCAGCCAATTATAAAAGAGGGTTAAGGCAGGGCCAATTTGAACACAAGCATGAACCCCACTGTGCAATATGAGGTATGCAGACACAACAAGGCAGTGTGCACAATTCATCTTTATCTACTACATAATAAAGGGTAAAAGAATGCAGAAGGATAAAAAAAATAATAATCAAACATATTTGAAGTTAACAAAAATACAACTCATCTATATCAATACTCACCTCACAATATGGAAGTTTTTTGGTTGACACAGTTTAAATCAGATTGAAATTGGATGGCACTCATGCAAAATGGATATATGTTGTGTCCCAGCACTAGAAACATAGACAAAATTTGGCCTTTAACTTGCTGGCCTACTGAAATTCATACTAAACATTCTTGGATGGTGGCGTGGTATAAGGCAAAACAAGAATCTCAATTTACATGTAAGAGCATCACAACAAGAAGGAAAGTACCTATTTTATCTAGCTCGACTTCAGACAGATCACACAGGGATCAACTTCAAAGCTGCCGAAATTGGCATTCCCAGAAATCCAAACAAAACACTACCAAGCCACTGCTTCCAACTAAGGGGACAAGTGTTTGCAAACGTGCCCAAGAACTCAACAATGATTATTTGAAAGAGGACAGTGCAAGTGAGGACAGCCACAAATACATAATTCTTCAGTATGCCCTCAAAGACATTTATCTTCTCCATCTCCCTGGAACTGATCTCATTGAAAACCTACAGACAGAATTTGCATCACAAAAATATATCAAAATCAGAGAGCACTAGATATACTGCCAGAGACAAACATCAGATATGGGCATTTGCAAAGAAAATATTTTCCGAATAGACATGGATGTAAGTTCTATCCAAGCAATTTCTGTCATCTGAGCCACAAAACCGTATTGGTGCAACAAAAAGTAGACGCCATTGTTGCCAATGTCGTGAAGGTTGAACTTTACCTGACAAAATACAAAGGAGTTGAAAATGAGTGTGTTCAATGTCAAATCTGTATCCGGGCCTTCAAGATGAAAAGTTACTTTTCCTTTGGTCTGGAGGAACCAGATTATAGCAAACTGATATATAGCCTGTCCCAAGATGTTCCTCCACATCACATTACTGATAAAGTTTCCTTTCCTACCAACAGGTGACCTTTTCATCAAGTCCTCATTAGGAGGTTCAGTTGCCAGCGCAAGTGCTCCTAAAGTGTCCATGATCATGTTGACCCATAGAAGTTGGACAGCAGTGAGGGGAGCATTTCCTAGTAGTTCACATATTGCATGACAGAAGTTGAAAAACGGATTCAAAAAATGGAGGAAATAAGAGAACATTGCAGAAGGACTTTTGTGTAGGAAAAAGATAAGAGAAGCGCTTCATGCTCACTTACCAGTCAAACAGGCAGAAGAGAAGTTGACAATCAAAGCAACCACATTTACAGTTAGCTGGAACTGCACGAATTTCTGTATGTTTATGTAGACAGACCGACCCCATTTGGCCACAGTCACGATAGTGGAAAAGTTATCATCTAGTATTATTACATCTGCACTTTCTTTCGCTACCTGGAATTCACAATGCAATGTTATATAAGTTTTATAAATAGGAATTTAGAATAACAATCTTTTCAAAGGTCAAGAACTATCCAGTTTCCACTGATAGGCAACAAAATGAAGTTTGAGGATTGAGAAATGACTACTAAATGTAAGGTTAACATCTACCGAAGTTGAGCCAAATATTTCTCTACTTGTTGCACAGACCATACTTTAAAGCACCATTTTCCATCTTGTACATCCCAAGTACTTTCATACTCGGTGATGCATATCAGGGGATGCGGAGGAGACTGGTTCTCAGAATATATTTGAGTAGTGGCATTTCTAAGATAAACATGGTGAAACATAACATACAAGTCCAATTTACATAATTCTAATGACAAGTAGGACTGAAGATTACACACGCACAAGCGTGAAAAAATTATTGTATCATATTTCACAAACCTCAGTTCCAGCAATGCCCATTGCAAGTCCAATATCTGCTTCATGAAGTGCGGGAGCATCATTCGTACCGTCACCAGTAACTGCAACTACTTCTTCAAATGTGGTCCTTAGGTGTTTCACTAGGGTATGCTTATCCATGGGTGAAGATCGAGCCATTACCTGCAGATGCAGAAATATACACATGACATGTAGTTAGTAGACAAATTTCTCCTCCGTAAACGATTATAAATTGGATCAACAATCTCATAATCCTTCCCCTGGTTATTTCTAATAAGATTTTGACATGTTCATAATAACTGGCTTGACCTTTCTAAGTTTAGGATAGCATGCATGCATCTGTGAGTGTTTCTTTTTCCTTTAATCCCCTCATCTCTCTCTATCTCTCTGTGCGCGCCAAAAATACTGAAAAAATACATTAAAAATGGCATGATTATCAGTATGCACCTGAATTTTGGGAATTAAATCATGCAATTCCTGATCATTCTTCTCCCGAAACTCAGGACCTTCAATTGCTATGCCATCAGTTAGAATTCCACATTCTCTAGCAATCGCCTTGGCAGTATTTATGTTATCTCCGGTAACCATTCTGACAGTAATTCCAGCTGCCCTGCAAATGGCAACAGACTCTCGAACACCAGCGCGAACTGGATCTTTAATACCCACAATTCCTATACATGTGTACCCGCTGCTAGGAATTGAACTTTCAGCAGAATATCCTCTTCCAATCTCCATGTAAGCAAGGCAAATAGTTCGCAGAGCTTCACTGGCAAATTTTTCGATTGTATTCTCTAACTCATTCATGGATTCTTCATCAAGTGGAACGACCTTGCCATTAGAGTCTATAACCTTGTCACATGCAGCAAGAATAATCTCGGAAGCACCTTTGCAATGTGCTCTGAAGCTGCCATCAGGAAGCTCTAGAACCACTCCCATGCGCTTCTTGAGAGAGTTAAAGGGTTCCACTTTCACAATTTTTGACATTTGTCGTTCCCGAAGGAAATCACCACGAAGGGATAGCCCAAATTCTAATAGCGCACTCTCAGTTGGCGTTCCCAGAATCTCAATCTTGT